TGTGTGTGTGTGTGTGTGTGTGTGTCACAGTAGGTGGTGTCTGTGTGAACTGTCACAGTTTATTTATGACAGCTTCCCGCTGACAGTTACAGAGAACAACCTGCTTACAACTCTGAGCTTTTCTCTTCAACCATCTCACCGTCACTCACTTCTCATTCTCTCATAAAAAAACAAATATTGTATTTGTTAATGTGATACCTAGACCAATAGCTCCAAGCATTGTTTTGGTAAATAGTTGAAAAATGAGGTTTACATGCATCTGTGTGTTCATATTACATGTATTCCTTTACATTAACTAACAGAACTGTGTCAGTGTCAATCACCAGGTATTTGCAGTTATCAGTCATATAAAATGTGTGTAAGAAGGGACTTTTCTTTCTGTAATGCCCATTTAAGCTGCAACCGCAGGAGAGAAAACTTCATCCAGCTCACTCTGAGTTATCTCCTGTAAATGTCAGTGGGCCTTTCTTTACCTTTAGATAAGAGGTTTTGAAAGCCAACATTCTCTAGTTACCATTATCACACTATTATTTGCACACTCAAGAGACCATGAAATGATGTTAAAGCTGCATGACGTGGTTTTTCGACCACTAGGGGGCAAACAGATTCCCGCATATCACCTAAGGCCCTGTCCAAACCTAATTGATATAGTCACATCCATCCTGAGAGATCCACAATCACAATATGATCTTCTCCCCCAATTGGTAGTGGCTGCAAACAAATCAACGTTTGGACACTGAGAAGCTTCAGAATATGTTTAAACTGTAGCCTGTCAGAGACCCCAGCTGAGTAGGACCCAGGACGCAGTTGCATTCACACAATGAAAAGAATGTTGCCACATGTGAACATGCAAACAACATTCACCTGTTGAGTGTACAGCATGTCTGATATTCACTGCTGAGACAACCGAAGAAACAGGAATTCCGGGAGAGTGTTTAGAGAAACAACCAGATTAAACTGTATTCAGGAACCAGTATCCTATTATATTCTTTCCTATCAGTACTATTGTGAGAGGTGTCCATTGTGTAATTCATTGGATTATTGGGTCTCTCTCTCTCTATATCTGTTATATAAACTCAGCGATTATTACCACTGAATAGCTGAAAATCAGGGTTTTATCTCCAGGATCTGTGATTTTTTTCTTCTTTTTTTTCGGTGGGTATTGACTGGGAGAGATCACAGATGCACTGTTGTGACAGCAAACTCATACCTTGACGGCAGCGATGAAAGGCAGTAAGGGAGCGAGGTCAGACTTTGCTAAGGGAATATTTCACAGAGCCATCAGTCCCATGTAGAAGGCAGTGTTGGTAGAGACGTGACACCCGCTGACCTGTTTCTCTGCCGGTTCCTCTATATCTCTTTACCACTGACACAGCAGCAACGTGTGAAATTTTCACCAGGCGCCTGTATGTTTGCATTTGTGTGCACGTGTACGAGATAAACTATTTTTCTCAGATATGATTGTTTTAGCCTTTTGTTCCGCTCTCAGTTGCCCTGTGTTGTGTGCCGCTAAATACACCGTGAGGCTGCTGGTAAAAAAAAATGTGTGAAAAGGAATTTTAAAGAACTACAAGAAATGATCGCTTTCTCTCTTTTGCTCTTCCGCTTCCTCAATCTACCTCTCTTACCTTTGCAAGCTGTGAAGTAGTGCTAATAAAACATAATCATTTCCATCAGCAAGTGAGAATTGACTATTAGGATTTAATGGTGCTCAGATATGAACAAAACAATATGTATGTGAAAGTGGCCAGACTATTAAGCATCTGGTTTGCATTTCAAAGCGAGTTAACTGTTTTTATTTTCCATCTCAGTCTTGAAATCCATTTAAAGTATGTCTATCTACCGAAATATGAAATTCTATATTTGTTAAGTACAATTGGATTGATTTCAAAATCTGTAAATCGAAAGGAAATCGTGACACTCTTTTATAACCTGCAGACTGTGCACCTGCAGTTAGATTCTCTTTGTTCTTCTCCTCTCATTTCAGGCTCACTGGAGGCATTCCAATAGATCCATCAATTTGGCAAAGCAGTGTGTGTGAAGCATACGAATTATTCCCTTGGGACGCACACACACACGAAAACACAGGCACATGCGCACACTAATAGACAATCTGGGTTGTTTATCCGGCTCTCCTCTTGTGTTTTCACCAGCAGGATGTCTCAGAGGCTATGCTCACGTTGTCGGTTAGGTCCTCTGTGTTGTGGTTATCTTCGTCTTGTACATGGTTGCATTTTGTGGTTTTCTCTGAACCCTCCCATATGATGGCATATTCTCTGCTAGACCACACTCCTACCTGTGCATCTCCTTCTGATTACAGTGCTGTCATTCACGGCCGTATATGATAGTGCACCAGTCTGTCCTGAGAACAAGCACACACACACACATATCATGACTTCCTGTGTGTCCTCATATACCAGACGTCAGCCACCGCAAGAAAGTTCTATGATTTCGACAAGAAATCAAATGAAGCATAGCATTCCCTAATCAACCACATGATATCTACAGTATGTCCTTATCCTTATGGGTCTCAAGCTCATTAGACACCAACAAGCTTCCTCGCATGATCCAGATGATGTGACGCTTCTAATTAAAAGGTGCCACGCTGTAAGCTCTTAATTTGCTGATGAGCTAAATCAGGACATTCTCTTTCAGGGTTGAACGATCGGAGGTCGGGGGGGTTGTGGGGTGTCAGCAGTCTTGATTGACATTCAAGATAGAGACTACGCTCTTCTCCGGTACAGATACAAGCACACTGTTCCTCCCGCAGTTATCTAATCAGCTGCTCTGTCTTCTGTCTTTGTCCTCTCTCCTCTCTGCTTTCTGGCGTCTGCCTCTCTTGCTGTCCATCCAACCCCACTCTTGTCTACTTGGGGATTCCAGTGATGGCTTCAAAAGGCAAAGTTCGAGGTGAGTTGTGGCTGCGCTTCCCCCCGCTGCTCCCTCAGCCTTACAAATCTCACATCAGAGGAGTCAAACTGAATTAATTTACCGAGCTGGATTTGCTTTAAAAGATTTGGCTGACTTTTCTGTTTGGTTGCTTTTATTTGATTTAGAATTTAGTTTTTGTTTGCTTGATTCCAAAACTGTCATACTTTTGTCATAGAATTATTTGATATTTCATTACAGATTTTAAATGCCCTGTTTTGTTTTAATGGGATCTTGGTGTCATGGGCAGATCCAGGGGCAGATCTGGGGGGGATCCAGGGGGGGCACTGACCACTGCTGAAATCTGATTGGCTTTTGAAGTGCCCCTGTCCTGACAGTTGTCTTTTTTTAAATAAACCAGTCCAATGTGGATTAGTTAACACACTAAACTTACCTGTGTAATGTTTCTGGTTAATTTGCTCATAATCAGAATGTGTTTTCTGGTTTTGAAGCAGTAGCACGATAAGCATAAACCTCACATGTATCACGAATTGCGTATAGTTTTCTCTCGTGAACATTTGCTTCTTAGCATAAATTTTATAGATGTTATTCCGAGGTTTAAGATAGTTAAATCTATATATGATATTCATGTCCACTACTTAATTGTGTTATTTTGTCCTTTATACCTTTTGTCAGACACTGGGAAGACGGCAGTAAATTACAACGATCCCAATCTTCTCCGTCGCTCTCTGTGCAAGATGGCAGTGTGTAACTGAGGGATGGATTATAGATCAGAGTGAGGGTGTCAGGGAGGAGAGGCAGAGTGTTTATTTGAGAGGAGATAACCTGATTATATTCAGCTGCGTGCTTCAGTAAATATCCCTCTCCAAAACGAAGAATTAAGTCAACCACGACTTTATTCTCCATCTGTTTAGCCGCCGTCTTTGGCTGATGATTACAGAGGAGCAGCTCTCGAAATACAGTCACTTCCTGCACATAGTCGTATTGATGAGTCAAATGAGAGGATCGGCGTCAGCTCAGAAGTGGCATACATAAAAAACAGATTGTACATGTACATCCAGTAATACGTGCCAGATTTCAGTGATGGACTTGATGCAGTAGTTATGTTGCGTTGTGTAGTTTTGAGCTTGGTTTGATCGCACTCGAGCGATGAGTCACATGGTCTTGCTCTCTTTCTCTTTATTCAACGTATACTCTCTTCTTCACTCTCAATCATGTATACATACTCTCACCCAGATGCCCTCACAGGCACCGATTGATTTAACGTGAATCGGTACCCGGTAGTACCCATGCAATTCAGTCGGTACCACTAAAAGTACTGAGTTTGGTACCCAACCCTAGTGAAAACGCTTCTCCTTCAATATTGTCTACCTTTCCTTGCTTCTCCTCCTTTTCAATAAGGTTAAAATTGAAACTGGGTTATTTTTAGAACAATGTAATGACGTCAGTCAGGGATTCAAATGAGTGTGAAAAAGGACCTTGTTGAACACAACAGACAGATACATGGCACCTGTACACTGTATACTGTGCATACATGAATATGTGTCCGTGTTCGTGAAAATAACACAGTTTCTTGGTGTCTTTTTAACCCTTATCTTTTTGCTTTGAATTGAAAGCAATTGTGGTTAAAAACATGTCTGGATCTGCCCCTTTGTCCAGGTCTGCACCAAAATGTAATGGGTTGATTCTTGGTCCATGTCTTGGAGAGTTTCAAGGGAGTTTCAAGGGAATCTGTCAGTAGTTTTTGTGTAATTCTGCTAACTACCAAACAAACATCAATGAAACCATAACCTTTTTGGAGGTAATCATTTCATAGAAATAAGGGGATTTCAAAGTCTGACAGGCACTTTAGGTCCTACCTCAGAAAAAAAGACCCATCATATGTTCAAATCATCGGGGAAGGTTGGTAGAGATCTTGGGGAGTCTTCACGTCAACTGGCAACTTGAGGCGAATGTGCGATTACAGACGTGGAGTTAAAAACACTGTGCCTTCACAATATAACACCATTTGTATTAAATATCAGCTAAAGCCTGTATTTGTCCTGTCTTCTGTGATGACACTTCTGCACCAGTTGTTTTTTCATTTGAGCTGTTGGTGTGATTTTTGTCTGAAAATTGGTCGGTCTGCTGTGTCACAATCATTTGAGCTGCTGATCATGCTCATGAGCAGCCCACGCTACAATAAAACAAAGTTCTCATTGTTTGTAGAACATCGGACTGGCTCCTCAATCACAGTTTGAAAACCTCTGCTGAGATTAGTTTAACTTCTACTGGCTAAGGAAAATTAACCACACTCACCGGAACAGGTCGTGCCATTTAAAACACCACTTGCGTAACACAATTTTGTTCTCAGATGCACTCATCCTGGAGTAGACCCGTCTGATTTTAGCTTTGAGATGAGATCTTCAGTTTCAACCCTGCCACTGTGGGTCCTGAAATGCTAAGAGCTGTTTTTAAAACTAGCACTTTCTGCTCACTGAATCTTGCAAAATCCCCTCGGGGGCACGAAAGCAGTTCCCCAGATCACTCTTAAATGAAGAGTATCTGTCAACACATCCCCGCACATTAGAAAATCACACTGTGTCATGTTGATTTGGGGAATTTGGGAGTTTTTGGTGGCAGCAATGATTAGTCTGATTTCCCTCGTGATTGCAACCCGTCCCTGAGATCATCCTGTTCTCACCCCGTATGAAAGCAGAAGAAATAAATAGCTTCTTGTGATAAAAAAGGTTGAGACGTTGAGCACATTTCTCCACCACATCAGTCTGAATTTTTTTGAGAGGATTTCAATAGCCACAATAAATCAGATTTTTCTCGGCCTTGTGCTTTTATGATATTTAATTTACAAAACTCACTAAGCCTGCAAGCGTGTGGATAGCTGCTAATATTGAGTTGCCATTGCTTGGCTTTATATTCAAAGAGGGAATAGAGCAGAATATTTTAAAGTGCACACACTGTATGTAGTCAAAGCTTTGCCGTCTGTGTCCTTGTAACACTTAAAATAGAACAGATGAGACTGGGATTTTGCCATATCGAAAAAGGATGAAGTGCAAATAACATTTACTTTATATTTCACTGCTCAGTTTTACACACACACACACACACACACACACACACTATCTCTGTGTAAGTGCTTACATATAGAAGCAATTGAACGATAAATACTTACCTTCTTACATTTTATGCAAGAATCTGGGCAGCATAATTTAACTGCCTATTTCTCTACTTAACTTCTCCCGTTATGTAACAATAACAGGTTCTCTTCGACAAAAAGGAAGTGTCTAAGACTTTGTTCACTTGTTTTTACAGTTGCTTCACTTATTTACTCCCTTACTTCCGCTTATCTGTCAAAATATGTACCCATGTCCTCACCGAACTCGCCTTTGCTCTCAGCTCGCCTTTGCCAGCTGGAGGAAAGCAGCATATGAAGTATTTATGAGAGCCCGCTTTACCTCTGTCATAAAACCATGAGATGTCTGCCCTTGACTGGGGGTGGATAGTGAGATCCCTGGCCATTTTGGACCGAGCGAGCTTGAACTCAGACGGCTTACACGCAGAGAATGGGCAGGGGTTTATGTATCTGCCCTTTAAATTGATGTTGCTGAATCAAGGGCAGGAATCCTGGGCGAGTGATAATAGAGTCTGGGAGCATGTCTGTCCACCAACTTGAAATTAGTGCGTGGGTTTTTAGAAGCAGTGGCCTATACAGTGGATTGGTTTCTGAGAAGCAACAAAAGTTCAACCGAGGCAGTTTTTCCTCTGCAACAAAATGGGAAAAATCTGCTGTATGCTGTGTTTTTTGTGGGGGTTTTTCGTGTTATTTTTGTAGTGATCATAGGAGAAATCCTTCCCCATATCTTTGTCACTCTCGTAACATTGTCTGTTAATACCTTTCACAACTAGCTACTGGGAACATCGTCACCCACCTCAAAAACATGCCAAAAAAACCTCTCTACTCTCTGACAGCTTGTGGTTCATGAAAAAAAAAACCGTCCTCTGTTTGTCACTCCTCACTGTGCTTAAACAACACCTAATAGCACCACAGAGGGATAGGTGATGTTTTGTTGATCGGACTCCTGGGGTTGTAAGTTGGATGTCAAAATGTGCAATGGCAGCACCAACAGCTGCCCAGTCTAATTACTGTACTGTATGTAGATGACAACAGCTCCACCGTAGCCAGCTTCTCTGGTGCCGGGTAATTAATTTCATATCTCCACATCAGAAATGGTTGTCCTGAGGTGGTTGTATGCGAGCGCTGAATACAAAGGTAGCTCCACCCTCTGCAGGGGTTGCATTCAATTTGCTCGCAGCAGGAGTCTTATCGGTGTCAGAAGAGCACGTTTAGTTTTGAATGTGCCTGTGCACACACACACACACACACACACACACACACACTAAATTAGCATACAGTTCACTCACAAACATGAGTAGAACAAAACAGAGAAACAGAACGTTTTATCACTTCAGATAGAAGAACTACAATAGAGAGAATGCAAACAAGGCCCCTCCCAGATTATTACATTTGAAACAAAAAATTGTTATTTATAGAAATATTTGTAACTCAGTTTTTGTATTAAACAATTTTATTACTCTTAAATAAAAAGTTGTATTATGCACTATTATTAATTCTTACTGCATATTGTCCATAAGTTGAATGCATGACATACATTCATCCATCATGCCTGTATACCTTGATTGTTAGCATTTTTTTGGAATATACCTGGTTTATTACCACTTTCTTTTCCAGGCAGTTTTCAGATGCCTTCCATACTGCTCTGATTAAAGCTCCCCCTGTTGGCCTGTGCACAGAACACCTGTCACAGTGTTCAATTCCACTTGTACCAATGATCCTTCACCTCAGTCCACCTTCCTGAGAGAAACTTCCGAATGGCTCTGTTTTTAGATTCAGGGCGTTACACTATTAGAATAGTTTAAAATCTCCATTGTGACTTCAACACAGTCCATCACTCCTCACTTCTCTTGACTGATAAACAGTCAGTGACAGGCCCCATCAGTGGTTT